TCTAGGCCGCGGAACTTCCCGATGCAACCGCTCCACTGATGAAGGGTCGGCAATGGACGAGTCATCACCGTTGCATCTGAGTATGCTGGGGGACAGTCTGCAGAACCACTTTTTGTTTGCGGCTCTTCCCATCAAGCTGTACAACCAAACTGATTCCTTATACCAGGTCCTTTCATTGATGGGGATGAGATGGACGCGCTGTTCAACCAAGGGGTTCTCATTGGTCAGCAAAGATACTTTGTAGCGATGCTGGGAGTCAAAGGTGATTCCCCGTATTTGGCGAAGTCGGGTCGGTTTGAGCGTACGTTTTGTCGAAGACCCACAAAGCATGTCAGCCAAAGTCTGTGCATCGGAATATGCCACCGCTGCCTAGCTGGAAGAGAAGGCTGGGTAGTGGACCTACCGTATGAGGAATTTGGCGCAGAGTTTCCTACTTGGTCAATCACAGAGGCTCTAGAGAAGCCATATGTAGTTCCTTCACCACTCCTTCGGGTCCCTTTCCTGAAAGAGGATGCTGACGACGGCGATTTGTCATTCTGGCAGTTCGACCTGTTTCATAACATACATCTTGGAATGGGAAAGAATTTCATTTCCAGTGCTGTATGTATATGCATTGAACTCTTGGACGGTAGCTTGGAGCGTGCCTTCCAAAGCTTGACATTGGATTTCCAGCAGTACTGTCGCAGCAACCACGAAAGCCCATACCACAAAAAGCTTTCTCCATCCCTCTTTGGTGTGGACAGCGGGTTCAACCAGACTCCAGAAGCAGGGTGGAGCAAGGGAGACTTCACAAGGTTGGTCCTGAAGTGGTTTGAAGACTATGCCAAGAGGGAGGTCCTCGGCAAAACTCAAGATCCCATTTGTCTTGCTTGCGTTGCTCTCTTTAATGTTGAAGCATTTTGTTGTGTTTTTACATTCCTGTTCATCCAGTCCAGGAGTTGTAAATGCACAATCGCCTGAAAATCTGACTCGGTCCCTGAATGCGCGTGCCAAGGTTGAAGCGACACAGGCCATCAATGAGTGCCTCTCAGGGCTTTACAGCGAGGGATTGTTTCTGAAGGCTGAGCGAGCTGAATTTTTAGCCCGGCGGGGCTTGAAATTTTTAGAGAAGTATTCCCAGTTGGCATTGATGTGCTTCAGGGTTGGTAAGCGGCGATTCCCTTTGATCCCTAAGGGACATTACTGCCATCATCAATTCCTTGACCTTCTTCGGGAGTCAAGGAAAGGCCAGTGGTGTCTTAACACCTTGGCGTACTCAAACCAAATGGCTGAGGACTTCGTGGGGAAGTCCTCACGAGTTTCAAGGCGAGTTTCACCACGGACTACCTCGCTCCGAGTAATTCAGAGACTTTTCCTTTTGATGAGGGATGCAAATTCATCACTTTATGCAGGTGGCAAGGTTGAGATTTAAGGCTGATGCGCTTGACGCTCTGGGTTGTCACTTCCCTTTCACTCATATATATATATACACTCAAACAATCTCAAATACATATGGATATATCATTGTTGTTTATACAAATGGTCGAGATGAGTAGCTGCTGATCACGATGTTGCATATGCATATTTATATGTATATGCATGTTTTATTGTTATTGCAGTGGTAATATGTTCAGGTATGAATTAGCGGTGTTGTAATACCAATTGAAAGATAGCCCAGGATGTCTCAGGCCGAGGCTCTTCTCTGTGCATCTTCAGCTTGCGGGTCACCGCGTTGAGCCGACGGAGAGTGTGGCAGGGAAAGGGAGAACTGGGTGGGAGGAGTGAGGTGCTTGGTGTGTAAGGGACCTTTATAACCCCAATGCTGACTGGACCTTGCAAACAGTCATGATTGAAAACCGGGTTTCTATGCATCACCATTCCACGACCCAAAAAAACATGGTTGCAACATAAAACCTTTCTTTTTCATGGTTTCCTGTGCTCATGGTAGCCCGGAACAAGGGAGCCTTGACAACGACTTCTACCTGTGTTGTTTTTGTGACGTATACAACTCGGGATCAAGTCGAGAAAGCTGTGCAGCAATTCAATGGGGTGACTTGGCAAGGCATGAGCAATGGAGCGCTCATTGCAGCACCTGCCAAACCAAGGGGTCCAGGAGTTGTCTACCCTGTTGATCAGGCTGCTGCACCTGCAAAGCTTGGTGGCCAGGACTTAGCTGGAGGGTTCACCGCATACTTATTTTCACTGAAGCTGCCTCACTTCTCACTGGCGCGTGGGCCGTGCACTCTTTGCAGGCGCGAAAATAGTGGTGACCTGACCTGGACCAACTTTCAGCGAAACGCGCCGTGGGTGGACACAATCTGGCGCAAGGCAGACTGGCATTTGTGGCCAGAGCGCTCCCAGAACCCTTTGTTTCAACTTCCAGGACAAAGTTGCCATTTGGTGTCTTTGGACATGTTTGGGAGCGTGCCGCAAATCTTGTGTCAGTTTGTTTTACCAGGGGCTGATGCTGACAATGTGCGCACATGCTGGACATTCCTCAAGAGCTACTACAAGCAGCGCAAGATTCCCCCTCCCTACCGCTACCTCAACAAGATTACTATGTTTTTGCGTCAAGGCAAATTCCCAAAGCTGCGTGGTAAGGCAGCCGAGGTCCGGCATTTGAGTGAGCCCATCTCTGCCCTTTGGAAGCACTACGTGAACCAGGGAAGCGAAGTTCACCGGCAAATAGATTTGATGCTGCGCCTGAATGCCTCTATAGAGCGAACACTGACTGAGCACAGTAGGTCCTACTGTTTGCCCCCATTGGTTTATAACAAGTTTGTGAATGACACCTACCACTTGCTCGAAGTAAGCGCAGCACTTTGGACATGGTGGTGATCTTCGGCGTGCTTTGATATCGGCAGGGGCAGCGCTTTGTGAGCCTGGAAGTGCAGAGTTGCGGGCAGCGGCAAGCGCAGCGTTTTGTGAAACTAGAGGCGGAGATTTCGTGGCAGCAGGGGCGGGCGGCTCTTTGTGAACCTTGAAGTGCCGATTTCGTGGCAGGCGTAGCGTACCTGGGAGTGGTGAACTCTTGGCACGCGCAGCAAATGCGCTTTCATATACATGCCCTTATGTGCCCTCATTCACCAAAATAGCAAACAACAAGCATCCAGGTCTCTTTGGGGGAGCATTGTTTTGTGAGTGATTGCTTACAAAAGAGTGTGTATGCCAGGAGCATGTTGTAAACGGATGAGGGCTAGACCTTTGTTGGATCAACCCAGCTCTATCCCAGTTCAGTTTCAGGTTTGGTATATTCCAATTTGAACCTGTTCCTTGTATTAAAACAACCAACCATGCTGAAGAGTTTTGACAAACATATGCCATAAATAGTGTTGCGATGGTTTGTGTGAGCGTTTTAGTGATCTCATGCCACCATTCTATACAAGTTTTCTTTTTACATTGGAAAACTGCAGCCCGTTTCGGCTAGGCAGATTTCTAACTATTAGGTTATCTTCTGTTTTCTGACTATTGCTTAGAGAATTCCTGGGGGGGCTAAAACATGTAACTTACAATTTTCGATTGGCCTTATAGATGTATGATGACACCCCTCGTTTTCGGCACATAATTATTAGTTAGAGGCATTATTCATGGTCCCATTCACCCCCTTGGATTTTTGCGCTGTGTTGCTTGCGTGCTCCTGAGAACGCACCAGGAAATGAGGACGTAGCTGGGGCATGTCAGCATGCAATTTTAGGTTGGGTTGAAGAAAATGGTAACTTACCACGTTCCGCCTCCTAAGTTACATGTTCTTCAAGCACCCCTAAGCAAGATAAGTAAGAATATGTAAGAAACATGTTGTAAAACAAGGGTGCGAAAGGTACACGCTATTGTATTTCTATGGTTTCCAAAGCAACTTATGTTATTTTTGGGATGCGGGGAGCTGTAGGCCGGGCATTGGAAAAAAGGGGTAGGTTCTTCCTAGCTTACAGCAGTTTGCTTGCATTATACAGATTGCCGCGAAGAGCCTGTTGACGACGATTGAGACCGCCTTGACAATGAGCGGTTCCTCCACCTCGTCATCGTCCAAAATGCCAAGGTAGGCCGCGAGCACCTCTCCGTGAGTGGCTGTGTACAGCACTCCCAGGGCCCCAGTCACCACTGTGAAGGCCACAGTCACCACAAATGTCACTGTGCCCTGCGCTGCCTGCCATGAGCTGCACGGTGGCACAGCCCTTGCTGCAGCCTGGAGCTTCTTGCCGTCCACCCCGCACTCATTAGCGATGCTCTGGGTCACCAGGGTCTCAAGATCACTTTTGAGAAACCACCGGTGCCCTGATGGCAGTAACCCGCAGAGAGCTCCGCCATGTCAGCGAGTTGCGCTGCGTTGCCGCAACCAAGCGCACCTGCTGGCGACATGGAATTCACCCACGATGGCGCCGCCAACGGCAAAGGTGGCCTGTGCACCAGCTCCCCACCAACCGCGTGGCACATCTCGGTGCCAGCCACGACGAACGGGATCACCGCGCACAGGAACCTCAACGCCCTTGTGGCTGCCGGCGTCACGTGCCGGGTTGCCATGGTGTGGACCACCACCATAGTCACTCCGGCCAGCATGGCCCCGGCCGACCAAATGGTCAAGGGGAAGACCCCGGCCTTCGCTCCACCTCCGGCCACCCAAGAGGCCAAGACCAAGAAGAGCACATCGCCCGATGCCACCCCGGTGGCAGCCCCGAGCCATGAGCCGAAGCTCTGGGCCTGGCGAGCCGCCTGGCCCACCAGTTTCTGCGAGCCTGCAGAGTCGATATGCACTTCGAAGATCTGAGGCACGCGCACACTGCATAATGAGCACCACCGATCAACACTAGCCCCTATAACCGTAAGAACCCCTAGTGGCCCTAGTGTGGTCACGGTGTTTGGGGAATGAAAACGACATCATCTCACCGGCACTCCAAACTGTGAGAAGGTCCATCCACTCACCGCATGGTGCTTCTCTCATTTTGCTCCCTCCCAGCTGTGCTCCATCCATTCATTCCGCTGCTCCACTGTGGTACACTCCCGGAGTCGATCCCCGCCCAGGGCACTAAATGGCACACGGCCCGAGCCAGGATCGCCTTCCCCGCAGCGCCGAAGCTACAGTCCTGGCGCGCGCCCAAAAGGTCCAGGGGAGCGAGGCTCCGTGCAGGTACACCATCGAAAGTTGCACACCTACACCTTGTGCAAGTCTACCATCCCTTAGATTTCATTTGTGTTCAGCTTCGCAATCCCCAACCATCCATGCAGATTTGCTCAGATATTTACCTATACTAATTGACCCTTCAAGTGGTCAAAACTCAACCACTCCCAATTGGTTCCGAATTCTTCCCGTGGATATGTGGAGAGCATGAGTGCAGCCGGTGGACAGTTCACGCAGCCGGTGCGTCTGTATTCGTTTTCGCAGCTGCTTCCTCCACTTGAAAAGACTTCCACTATCTTCAATGAGACTTCACTGAAACCTGCTGTAGTACATCCTGAGTCCAACAATAGGTTGTTTACTCAAAGCCATTGGCTATTGGGAATCGACGGGTGGTGGTTGTTTTCTTCTCTGCTGGATTCCGGGTCGCCCATCACCGACCTCCCGAGGCAACGACTACCAGCGGGCCTCAAACCCATGGAGAAATACCTGATTTCACCTACAAACACCCTGATTGTTGCTAGGGAAAGCCATGTTTTTGATGGTTGCTGGTGCCCCTGGTAGCAAGGGGTTGGGGAACTTCCTATAGCTCCGAACGGCTCCCTGATTCATGGCTGAAGAACTGGATACCACTCTGGCGACCCTATTGCCGTCGCTCCCTCAACGGTTGGCAACAGCTACAAGTACATACCCTACGCACCCAAACCCTATAAATGTGTAGGGTCTCAATCAGAACCTTGGGAACTTTTGTGAAATCAAAACTACCGTTCTTCAAACCTCAAGTCTTGTTTTTCTAACCCGTGCTACACCCATATTTAGCCCGCGTACTAAAATGTACTAAACCAAAACCCGTACATACCCGTGCTAAACCCGTATTTTTGTACTGGTTTGGAAAACCTGGGGTTTCCTCAAGAAACCTACAAGTTTATAGGGTTTGGGTGCGTAGGGTAGATGAAGACTTGATGATTGACCGGTGCTTGTGTTTTGGTTCCAAGGCAAAAGAGGAGTACCTCTCTGAATGCTTCATCTGAACCCTACATCTTTGTCTGCAACCATCAAGCACCTGGGTCCTCACGTCACCTTCACACACCAACATTGTCTTTTGAAGTCTTCGCATGCAACCACTTCCGGCTCCACGAACAGAGGTTGAAGATTCCAAACGTTCGACTATCGTACAGGTACCCCAGCTTCCTTGTCTTTTCAGGTAAAAAACACACACACCAAAAAAAAGAAAGAAGACTCTCTTGGCACCACTTTCCCACTTCTCCGGCACCTTCGGATACTTCTCGAGGTACGCCCGGAAGTTGGGATCACGCTCAAAGTCCAGGGGCTCGAAGGACACACCTGCGACCGCTTCTCCGGTCTCGGTCGTGCGTCGGTCGTGCATGGCATAGGTCGTGCGTGGGTCTCGTGGAGCGTCGAGATCGACGGGTGCGACCGGTGAAGTGAATGGCAGGTCTCAGAGCAGGGGATGTCACAAGTACATTGGATCCAGCCCAAGACTGTACAGTTGACCAAGCGAAAAGCAAACACCCGCAGAAAACCAAAGCAGGACTGGAACCCGCCCCTACCTGTCTGTTTGCTGGCCGCGAATCGTGAATTCAACGTTCGAAAGGCTTCCATCATCCTCCAAAGTGTTCTCAACGTCTGGGTTTTGCTTCACAAGTTGTAAATCATATGACCACACAGGACCACACATGTTCCCTAGAGCGCAGGCAAGCGCCCAACTCACAACTTCTGTGGACACCCTTACTTCCAAAACCACTTCTCATCGCTTCTCATTCCCTATATCGATCCCACCTCATCAGACCTCAATCCCCCTCATCAGACCTCATCAAACCTGACCCGAGACCGGAACACCAAACCGGGGGGCACCCCTGGTCCGCGAGCGGACCAGCAGCGCGAGCAGACCGGAACCCTCCCCCCCTCCGCCACCGGAACCCTCCGCGTCCGCCGAATTGGAACCGCTCCGCCTTCCAGCATCCCATGTTCCTGGCGACAGGTCTTGGTCGGATGGTTTTTCCTGTTCGGATGGACCGGGAGGGTCTGGAATCGGTGTCCAGGTTTCTCCGGCCTGTCGACATGAGCGGATGGAGCGAAGCAAACGGCAGAGGCCATGGCATGGGCATGGATCAAAAAATGATCACCATAGCCAAACCATCCATGGGACTGGAATAATGGAGTAGTTAATTACTATAGATGCACATGTGTAGAACATCAAAATAGAGGAGCTTAGGAATGTAGTACGAGCAAAGGAAGATAAGGTCTCCTCCCTAGGTGTTTGGTGGACCTCATCTTACAATTGGTGGGACAGGTCAAAGCGAGCATGGGAATCCCATCCATGAACACTCAACGACATAACATGTCTCAAAACAACCCGAACCCAATTACAGGTGACAAACAAGGGACACAAACGATTCAACCTGACAATGTTTGCTAAATGCATCATGAGATGTCATGAGTACTGTCATGAGTTCTATATTGTGGGCCTTCAATAGCCATGTTGCTCTAGAACATCCCACCCACGCCCCACCGAGCGCCCACCAGTACCCCGGCCTGCTTTTGCAGCTCCTCCACCGCCTCCGCCACGGCCTCCAGCCCACGCGCATCGCCGAGGATGAAGACACGGAGAGCCGTAGAGCGGTGCTGCAGGACGCTCCACAGCGTCAGAAAGCCTGGCCGCGGCGGAGACCATGCGCCATGCGCGCGCCGCGGAGAGCCGTTGGGAGCGGTTTTGGGGCCGTGTTGCTGGGAGCGAGCGCTGGTCGAGCGGTTGGGAGGGAGCGTTTTCGGCTCAATGCGGCCGGCCTCGGCAGTGGAGACGGAGCTCGTGGAGCTCAGTGTGGCCCAAACTCGACCGGTCGGACTGACAGAAGGCCTGTTCGACGTGCGTAAAGAAGACCGTCTTGTTTCGTGCACAGGTGAACATTGGTGTTTTGGGGGCGTGTTCTTATGGTGTTCTTTGGGTGTAGCATCCAGAAGCTTGGTGCATGCACACGCGACGCTCAAGTTTGCTTTTTGTTCAAACGGTGGCTAATGGAAACCCTAGCTCGCCTATAGTCTCAACCGTGGCGCTGCGTCTCTACAAATGTGTCGACATGTGGTTGGGTGAGATGTATCCTTCCACAGTGTCCAACCAAAATCTTTGAGACAAACATATGCCCCACCGACTCCACCCCCACATATAGACAATGCTTTGCTCCAACTTCAACCTGGTGCTTCATCACAGTAAAGCGGTCCAAGTTTTGCTGGTCCAGTGGTCCGAGTCCGACCTCGCCTGTCTTGGCCCAAGAGCCCAGGCTCACAGCCAGCAGGGAGATCTCTTCGGCCTCAAGTTCAAAGAGTTGTTGTCACTTCCCGAATCACTTGACTGAGCCAAGGGTTGAGTGGTATGCATATGTATGCATGTACAGTAAGTGGGTGATAAGCCTTAGTGAGTGGCAATCGATTCGTTGCTCTAAGATGCTCTAAGCGTGCATAAACTGTTGACTTCATCTCAAAAGGGCTGAAACGTGTGATCCAAGAAGCTTTAAATTTGGCGGGCTTTCTGCTGATGTGCAAACAAGCCAAGCATGGAATCACAGCTTTGACTTTGTCCATAGTGCACGTTCCTGATCGGCCAACGCTTGTCGAGGGAATGAATACTTTAATTCTAAGTACTAATGGCTGGGAAAACATGACACCTGGAAGAATGCCTTCTGACCGCGGACTTGTGTGTTTCCGTTCCCTATGAATTGTACCTCCATGCAGTACAAACCATGAAGAACAAAAAAATCACAACTTAACTTGGAGCAACATTAACATCCCTGCAAACATAGAGCCAACAAAAACCAGCACCTGTCTTTCGGGCTCACCGGAAGCTCCCCACCACTCATGGATCTCCATTAGACACTCCGCTCTGAAGGTCCGGTTATAAAGAGAGAGAGAGGGGGGGAGCAAGAGAGAGATCATGCGGAAAGATTGAACCGATTTCAGTACTGCTTCTGGATTATTGGATTGTGCATCGTTTGATGCTTTAGTAGCTCCGCCTGAGCATGTAGACCACTCTACATGCACTCTACATCCCTCCCAGGTCACCTAGCCACCTGCGTTTCGTCGCGTTGTCACGCCACGGTTCGGCCCCCCTGCGCTGTGGTTCCGGCTGGGCGGCTGCAGCATCGAAAAGCCACGGCCTGCGGATTGATCCCGGCGACGACCGGTGAGAGAGTCTAAAGGAATCCGAGCGGAATATGGCTCTTGATGGCATCATTGCCTGTAGCTCTGTCACTGTCCCTGTCCCTGAAACAAGGGTGTTGTTTACTGTCTGTTTGCTTCGAGCTCTTGTCCGCATTGTTGTCGCTCAAGTGTCACGACAGACCGAATGGTTGACCTACTTGGAAGGTCGAGGCTCGGCTCATGCTGGACTGGTGAGGCTCCAGGTGGGGTCACGACCCATCCCGGGGACCAAGCCTAAAGGAGGCAAGCCCGAGGCCCGGGAGAGGCCTCCGGAGTCCAAGCTGGGTTTGAGACTCCAAGTCTTTATGCTTGTTCTTGGGGGATGGACACCAACCGAGGTTGAAGAACCCTATAGGCTATCCCATAGGTAGCCTGGTAGGGTCCTATAAGGTCACTTAACCTCTGTTGGAACACACCTGTATTAATTGCGATGAACTATGATGAAACCATATGAAACCGTCTGCAGCTTGGCAGGGTCAATTGGTGGCCCATCTGCAGCTTGACACGTCTAGACTCTAGACAGCCCCCCGCAGAAATCCTGGGGAACCAATGCCGAAGACCTTATTGGTGACCACCCCCCATATGATCTTACATGCAAGTCACCATTTAGGAATTAAGCCATTCGAGTCTTCATCTGGGTGTGTATTCCAATAGGGAGATCCCCCCTGGCCCTGGCTGGGTAGACTGGTCTATGTTCCTTCTTCCAGGGGGGTTGGAACGCCAACGGTTCGGTCTCCTCATTTTGAACCCCCACACCCACCTGGCGCATGCGATGCGATGCTATGCAGATCTACCCACCTGGCGCCTTGTGGATCTTTGATCATCGCTTCCAAGTTGGGGATGATGCTGTAAGCCTCTCCGGTGCCACCCATGACCGAGCCAATACCGATAAGTCATCCACCGCCCCAAGCAAAGCAGGACCGGAGTTTGTGTAAGATGAAATCCAAGCGGTAGGCTGGCGAGACTCTATTGTAATGATCTCCGATGACCGCACAAGCCTGCGGTCAGTAACTTGGTTCAACTTCTGAGGCTAGCTAGGTTCAATGCAGGTGCCCAACTGCAAAATTGTTTTGTCCCAAGACTTGCTGCTTCCCACAGTCATGTGCTTCTTTGCGGTGCGACCTACAGGGCATGAGCATGAGCAGCTTTCAGCCATGGTGTCAGCGGAGTGGAATGGAAGATCGGGGCAGTCACTTAATATATGAGCGAGACTTGTCACCATAGGGCAGGTTTCTGGATGGAATCAGGTAGACAAAGTGGGGTCTGATTGGGTTGACGGTGCCATGGCCGGGTGTTCAATAAATAAGTCTACAGACTGCAGACTACATACAATCTCACGTTAGTCAAGTTCCACTTGGGTGCTCCCCCCAGTCAAGGGAACTACTGTAGTTGGAACATGTTTTGATATGTAAGCCAATTGTAAGCCCACTTCTATGAAGAACTTCCCAAATAACCATTGGTCTGTGACGTCATGGCACCCTGGATACCGACCTGCGCAAGACTCCCGTCCCGTCCGAATCCGAGGTCGGGTCCGCACCCTAAGCTCCATATGTTGGACGAGGGCGGGCTCCAGGTTTTGACTCATCCCCATCTAAGCATCTCTTCCCCTGAACCTCCAGTCGTACCTCCTCAGGTACGGTATGACTGAACCCGACAATGGCACCCGGCCCCCAGTCCCACCTTAGAAACGAAGGTACGACTGGAGCCCTACGTTTCCTTTCGGGACATCCGACTGGAACAAGGCACCTCCTCGTGGCACTCTCCTCGTCCCCAGGGGTTTTCCGCAGGGGCCCCGGGGTCCTTTCCAGGTCCCTCCCTCCCCGCCAGCAAGTCGAAGGTATTCATCCCCACCTGCAGGCTGCGTAGCTGGAAGAAAACAAGGAAAACACTCCATGAGACTGGGATATTTACCTACATTGGTGGTTTGGGGGGTCAATGTAGGTAAATCTTCCAGTCTCACGGAGAGTCTGGGCATTGGCCGTGAGACAAACCCTGCCTCACTTCGTTCGCAAAAAAAATCACTTCGCCGATCGGCTGCCTTCGTGATGTAGATGGTTTGATTTTGAATGAAAACTCCAAAAGAAGAGTTCTACAACCCAAATGAGAGTGGATTTGATTCTGATTTGATTAGACATGAATCAACTCCGGATTCAGGTCCTTCTTTTGAGGGTGTGACCCTCGATCTCATGAGCCAAGCAACGTAAAGAGCAACCTTTGCCGAAACTGCCACAGGCCCCCAAATAAAGAACACCTAATTGGAGTCAAGCTTAAAAGGTTAGCTTTTTCAAACTAAGGGTCTCAAGCTCCGCTCCGCTTTTTTCAAAGAACACCACGTAATTACCTTAAGTTAAAAAAAAGGCTTCGTGACCGCTTCGCTTCAGTGACCGCCGCTTTGGAGTCCCATCCGACCTTTCACGTATCGGCCCGGACGTTATCCGTGAAACACGTCGGCCCCCCGTGAGCACTCGGCACTCGGATCGGATCGGGCACTTGGAAGAACCAGCTGAAACCGGTTCTTTCAGGAAACGTCCAAACAACAAAAAAGGCCGCCTTCGCGGAGTGGCTGCAGTGACTGCAGTGGCTCTGGAGCTTGAACGGGTGACAAGTGGATTCCATTGGTCCGTTGAACTCGCCCACCCAAGGCTGGTTCTTTGTCCAGAGACCCTACATGGGACTTGGCATCATTAGCAAACTTGAGGCCGGGGGTCGGTGACGAAAGCTGGCATTCTTCACAGGGTACAGTAGGTCATTCCATCAGTAAAGAACTTGCTATTTTTAGCAAGAGTAACTCCAGCTAGCTGACGCCGAGCGGCTTCGACCAGGTCACCCGACCAGCGGGCTGGGAACGGAACGACTGGATCAACACAAATGGTTTGCTCAGGCGGACCAGCGGCGAGCGGCTCGACGACGGCAAGACCATCACCACAACATGTTCGAAGGTGAGCGAGCGTTCTACGCCATTCATGAGTCTGATTGCTTCTACTGCAGCCATCCAAATCCATGTTTCATGACGATGTTGACCTCAAAATCAGGCCGATCACAACCCATGAGTCTTATAGGATACACAATCCATCCATCGCTCCCTCATCCATCGCTCCCTCCACACCTCATAGAGGTTTAGCGCTGGCTGAAAGGGCTCCAGCACGTTCTCAGGCGACACGTCCTGTCGGCTGACAATGATTGCAACAGGTTGGCAACTACTGTACACCAACTTGTGATTTAGAACACTTGAGCAAGCATATTGAAAACTATATACTATATCATACTATCATATTATATAATACTATGTCCATAAGCTAAGAGCTACCATGAATACCCATGCAATCTTGGTTCCTCATGACTTCTTGCATGAATTGCATGCTCAACCTCACTTAGAACTCAGCGCGAGTTCCCAACACTCCACACTCTCCAGCACGGCTGGCGCGGCCCGACGGACTGTCGAACCTGCATCTTGAGTTGAAGGGTCGTGGCTGTGTGGCCCAGCAGGAAGATGTAAAGACTTTCCAAACGAAACCTCAGTGATCATGTTGTCAAAGGGCTCACGCTGGTCAGTCTTGGTCATCACGAGAACGTCACATATTACGCATGATGGCATTCTACTGTCTTGTTCTCTTACGGCGCAAATGGGAGGTAGACGCAATGGTTCTGTAAATGACTTCTCCAAGATTGACCATGCAAGCATGCACGCTGCTCCCACAAGCAACCACCCTGTTTGCTCACTTGCCCATTGTGGTTTGCTTTCAGTTTCTTTGGTCACTGGCATATAGAAGTGGGACAAAACCTTGTCACCCAGTCAATGTGGATGTGTATGTGCAGTTTGCAAATGGAGTCACCCTATTGGAACCTCGTGGCTGGGGCTTGGTGACGAAAGCTAGCATGGCTTGGAAACGGAATGTGGCAAGAGGTATCGTATCGGAGAGCGCCAGGTATCTGGGTTTGATGGAAAGCATCTGGTTTCCATGACTTTACAATTAAACTTTACAATTTCACCTTCCATGACCTTCCAGTTAAACCAGTTAATACCCAAAAGACGCATTGACTTTTACAGTCAAATGACCAAGTAGAAGGACTACATCTCAAATGCCTTGGACAGCTGACCTATTCCTGAATCACAGGTGGGGAGAGTTGAACCTGCGGGGGAGGGGGGTACACCTAAATTATTCACAGGGTAGGTCATTCCATCCCCCAGCCAATGATTTGCTAAAGCAAGAGTAACTCCAGCTATCTGAAGAAGGCTTTTCAAAAGTGGATGCCGCAAGACCGCGAACACACACACTCTCTCTCCAGCAAAGCGCTCCTGGTGCTTACCAATGAGTTACCAAATCTTTAATTTGCATCTTCCTCCTAAAAGAAAAAGAGTTGCATGAAACAAAGTGCAACAGCTTCTTGGCTAAATATTCACCGCTTCAAGAAGGGATATGATGCCATGTACAATTGATACTGCTAAAAGGGAGAAGAGTAAACTTAGCAAACATGTCTGGGTAGATATATCTCTTGCTGAAGGAGAATTGAAGTTTGGGGATGAACACACACTTGATCGAGTTTGGTCAGACTGTTCCTGAGCTCGTCTCCATGTCCGTTCCCAAGCGTCACTTGCCCATCTAGCAGTTTTGTGACCTGCCTATCGCTGCCTATCCGTCATCCAAAAATAGGACCACACCAACAAATCAACAGAAACCCACAGGTGAAACAAATAACTTCTGGATCCCATCACTGACCAAACATCGCCTCATCGTCGCGTCCCTCTTATGCGTCCCTCCACACCCGACAAATCATCGTCATGCGACGCCATGCGGCATGCTGTGGAGCAAGCGGCGGCTGCTCTGAATCGCAACTCTCAAGAGCTGCTGGGAGTCCTGGTGACCATCGCGGCGGCCGGAGGTGGTTAGGAAAACATACTGCTTTGATCTGAATACCCGTCAATCGGAGCAGCCATAGAAAAAATTGGGAAAGTCCATAGGAAAAGGATACATCTTATTTCTCCCGGGATGGAAAGACCCAGTTGTCACATTGTTCACAAAAAGAGGTCTACGCCCTACAGCGTTCAACAGGGCCAGGTCCTTGGAGAAAACATCGTTTGAACATAACCCTCTAAAATCTTCTAAATGGCCAGGTGAGCAGTCTATGGTAGTCAGTTGAGTTTTTGGCTTGGTTGAAAGAAAAGAATAGAACAGTTATGTCAGTTGAGTTCTTGGCTTGAAGTGCCACCTACTCCTTTTTGGACACCTTAATCACCTTGGTGGATTTGTTGATGCAAATTGCAGGTGGTTTGCTTGAATGTGTGCGCTAGCTAGGTTCAATGCAGGTGCCCGACAGCAAAATTGGTGTCAGAAGACTTGCTGCTTCCCACAGTCATGTGCTTCTTTGTGGTGCGATGTTGATTGGGGAGGCCACCTACAGGACGTAAGCAGCTTTCAACCATGCTTGCCACATGTTGCCAGTGGTGGTTTATCAGCCGGGGCAGTCGCTTGTTCCCCGAAAGTAAAGAGCAACTATATGTAGGTCCAGGGACCCAGCGCTTGTCACTATAGGGCAGGTTTCTGGATGGAATCATACTTTTTTAGAGTGGGGTTGGATTGGATCGATCGACCTACAATTGGTGCCATGGCCCTGGCCTACAGGTCCCACAAACGAATTTAGGCTGGATCCTTTACCCCATTCAGTAACGGTGTTGCAAGGTTTTTGAAAAGGAGGTGTCAGGTGAGATGCCGATGGTTGCTGTAACGAGCTTTAGTCAAGTTTGAAGGAGCAACTGTGGAGAACAGCACTGGCATAGGTGTCTTTGGGGTCAAAGGGTCAAAAGACTTGACCTAATGAGTCTTTAATCAAAGCCTTCCAACCCCCAATTCCATTGAAAGAACTGCATCCAACGCAGCTCTCCTGTACGTGTTGCATCTGCATGAAACGGTCCTTGATGGGATCGACCTGGCAAGTGCCAAGTTTCGGTGAGAAGCAAACACACGCCCCAGGTCATGACTTTCAGTTGCTTCCCGTTCCCCGCAATATATCCCGGACACGCCATATATGGCATGCCTGATGCTTGAAACACATGTATCTATCGCTCGTCCAGTCCCATGGATGCTCTTGGGTATCACAGAAATCTATAGTAGCATCAGAGTTTTTCAGGTCCTGTTGGTTTCCTGGCAACGTGGGATGCCGAAACACCATTCCGGTACAAGAAAGCAACTGCCAGTTGCTATGAGAACTCTGCTTCTTATCCACCGACAGGAACAACAGAAAACACGATTTGCAACCAGACTGACACTTTTTCACATCACTACACATTCATCCACTGGTACCCAAACAAACACTTGGCTCTTACCATTGCCAACTCAACAAGCAAACTTGACCCCGTTGAACCCTCCCGAAGGCGCTGTGATCGACCCGCTGACCTCCATGATAGCTGTTCGGGCAAAGGCCTGGGCGCATGGCCAATCAAGTGTCTGAAAAAACATACATCTATATCAAGTGAATCATTTGGGATGGATTCACAGTGATTCATTTTTGGATTGTCTAGTGAAGTCGTGGACATGAATGCCTCTATTGCGAGTAGCAGAGCAGCACGGAATAACCAGGTTCCAATTAGAGATGGGAAACAAAAGGACAAAACATGTTTTTCCCAACAACCTCCCGATATGTATCCTCTTCTTTCTACGCCTCGTGAGCTTCCCTGGAACATGAACATGAGTAGCCCATGTGTGAACCAAAACCAGGATACCTTAGTTCACCTATACCTGAGAAATCGAACTGCAGAGTCTTGGACCCCATATAGCTTTATATACCCATGCCTCATGTATGCAGATGTTTACGGTGAGCTCCAGGTCGCCCATCCAACGACCAACCCGGAAGCGGAATCGCGTTTTCCTGTCTCGGGTCGAGTGGCCAAGCTATAAAGCCTCCAAGCCTCCATCTGCTGATGATCCTGAGGCACGTCCAGGTCAAAACGGGGCCCATTGGGATCCTGAACACGACCACCGGAAATGAACCGATTCGCCGATTCCTCTTTTGGGGATGTGAACTGAACCTATGGTTTGGTGGGGGTTTTGGTTCCCGACAGCCCATTCAAAATCCCTTGCTGACTCATGCAGAAGCAAGAAGGACCAGGACCCTGAAGGACTTGGCTCAATGGATTTCAGAAGCTTGATCCAAGAACATGGGAGCTTGAATGGGGGCACCGGGTCCATCTACAGAATTGTCATATTTCCAAAATGTTCGGCTGAGGAATCTGCCCACATCGCTTGTGTACTCCCAAGTATTTCTACTTTGGGTTCTTATTGATACGCTAGTCTCCACAACAGTTTTGTCTGGGTTGATTAAATTACTTTCATTATTTTTGTTCACCTCGTACTCGTCTTAATTCAATATGTTTTGAAATTATTCACCTCGCCGCGCCTCGTATAATTTCAATAATTTCAGTCACCTCGCCTCGCCTCTGTCTGTCCGTCTGTCTGTATGTCTGTCTATCTGTCTGTCTGTCTGTCTGTATCTCTCTCTATTGGTCTTGACCCCCAACCAGCACACGCACCCCTTGGGAGGGACGTCGTGGCTGATCGGGGGTTGCTTGTGCTTGGCAGCCACCTGCACCGATGACCAAACCCTTTGAAACATAGTGTGTTCTTGATGGGGGCTTGTCTATATTTGAGCTGCTCAGCACAGTTTCCTTACCTAGAGGGCCCGAGACAACATCAAGAAGGCTGCAAACCATCTTTTTTTTTGATGGGGCTTGCTTGCCCATTTGATGCTCAGCACCGATTCCTTACCCAGTGGTGCTGGCTAGGGCCTGAGACAACATCAAGAAGGCTGCAAACCAGTCCACAGTCGTGAAACCCTATTTTGCCTGCAGCTTGCCTATTAGAGCTGCTCTGCACAGTTTCCTTACCTAGTGCGGCTGGCTAGGGCCTGAGACAACATCAAGAAGGCTGCAAACCAATCCACAGTACCATAATAAGTAACCGCTAGTGATACTAGAGTGACCGCACAGTTTGGGGAATGAAACCAAACACATTAAAACACCGTCCCATTTGACCTCCCGGCAGCGCACAACCGTTTCGACCGTTTCTTCCAAAGAATCTGAGTCCAACAGGTAGGTCCGCATCAACCCGCCGATGGAGGTCACCGTCTCCTGGTAGGAACCTGCCATCGAGCGAGCTTGGTTTTCGCTCGCTGTGAAAGCAGCTGCTCGGGCGGTCAAAGGTACAACCAGAGCTGTGGTGGGACATGAGGGGAGCCCTCTGACTGATCACCGGTGGGGGGACACCAGGTTGTGTGAAGGATGGCCACTTGGAAGGGGGCACTCAAATTCCAAGGCCATGAGAGACAAACAAGACGACAACGGAGTGAAGAAATTCAGCCCAACACCAAAATTATTTGGACCAAACGAGATGAAAAAACACAATTCGATGGTGTTGGCTTCCGGTGCCTTGCGGCACATCCTGGCACGGTCACCAACGGGCCTCCGGAAGGTTCCCTCCAGGTCTCCAGAAGCATCCCAAAGCATCCATGAAACCATGCATGTAAGGAATACTATATCGACTATATGAATACCATGGCAAAAAAAAACATCCATGTCTGAACACCATCAATGTCGGCGATGAGAACCTGCGATCAAACAACCAACCCGCTGCACTTACCGTAAGAATCCCTGTGTTGCCGCACTGTTTGGGAAAAAACAAACCATCCATGTATGGAAGACTACTGGTATCTACTCAAGTATGGTCATAAATGATACATAGGTAGTTGTATAGTCTGTAACTCTTCCAATGGATGGTTTTGGAGCAGTTGACACATCTTAAAACCAGAACTCCCAGCCAGTAGGATCCATCTCCTCCAGGGCACATCTATCAAACAAGTACACCATCGTAGAGTCGTACACCGTTTGGAGACATTGGTTTTGGAGCGTTGCGACTGAAGTGACACTGGGTATAGAGCTGGGTACAAAACTGACTGAAGTGTACACTGGCTGATTTGGGTACACTGGGTACAGTTTGGTAGCCCTAAGATTGAACAAAACTGCCAAATCAATCCAAAAAACTGCGCACTGAGAAAACTTCCCTTCGCCACAGGACCGCCCATCTTGCATGTATGATACGCCAATCAACAAAGCAAGTCCGTGGACTATACCCACCAGCCATCAACCAATCAACCAAGCAGGGAAACATTACATGTTCAATATTTCCATGGTATATATATATATGCTCTGCCCAGGGACTCTTGACGAAACTACTGTATTCTTGGACTTCTTCTCCCCGGGAGTGAAGGATTCCGCTGCGTGCATGGCATCATTCTTCTTTGCATGAATCACCCAGGTCGGAGTCACCAGGCGCGAGGCATGTCAGACACCTGCCAGTAGGTGGTTAGACACCCTGGCACCCGCCCCGACCACCTTCTCAGGAGGTGGTTGGAGCCCTAGACAACATAATCTCCCTCAAATAGTAGAATCGCATCTGACACCAAGGCATTCAACCAGCCCACTGGGATCCTTCAATGAGGTTCAATCGGTGCCTCAGTGCATGAACTTCCTGCATGCCCCGTTTGACCTGGTTGATTTCATACCGAAGCACCATTGTTTTGCTAAGGACTTTTACAAAAACCAGGCTTGACATGATATGCTTGATCGACTCCTCCAGGTGAGAACACACCGGGCTCCACATGTGGCCAGGGCCGACGCGTTGGACTCTCGGACCTTCCAACGGCATCAACTCCACCAGCTGCGGCGACAGCGTCTCTAAGGCCTGGCTGCATGACGCGGCCAGGGTTTGGGCGTAGAGAGCGACCCGAAGCCAAGAAAAAAAATATAAACCAACACAAAACAACTAAGTAACTAAGACTATAACTGCTGATTGCTATTTGCGGTTGCCGAAGACAGCATCTGTGGCCGCCAATGCGTCTAATTACAAATAGGTCTGTTGCCGCTTTGCGGCGCCCACATTGAAATCCGGTCCGATCTCATCACCGCAAGAAAAGCTAGCAATCAACACACTACTTGGTGGTTCCTTTTTACTTGTGGCACTTGCAACTTAGTTAAGACACTTATAGGACTTAAGCAAGTTGTAAGCAGTACTTAGGGAACTTAGGTTTTATTAGTTTTCTATTTATAACCGTAAGTTGTATAAATTACTTGTAACTAACTTATAAGTTCTGTAAGTTCCTGGACGACCAAAAGTATAGTCTCAATCAAGCTGATAAAAATTCGTTTTCATTTTGCAATTTCTATTTTGTGTGACTGTTTGTTGTTTTTTGTGTGTTTGTGTGTCAACGCACTGGAATCTTTTATAAAACACACTTCTATATATGTGAGCGGTCCTGCAGGCGGCTCATTGAGCCGCCAAGCGTTGGAAGACAATAGTCACTTGGCGGGGCGGCTCAGGGAGCGACAAAAAGTTCTTCGCACAGGCTGGTCATGTCTACCAAAAACTATTCTTGTTCTTTGAACTTCAATGGCAACTGATGTTCAATGATTGTTTCTTCAACTTGATTCAGCTCAACCCTTTGAAAAATATACAGGGGTTACATATAGGTTGGCTGGTGGTCAATTGGGGGTTAGATCTAGGTTGGCTGGCGGCCCATTGAGCCGCCCAGATGTGTTGGCTGGCGGCCCCAGTGGAAAATACCCTATACCCTAGACCTTATGCAAAGGGTCCTGTACTAAAAGTACTTGTCCTTGAAAAGCAATGCATCAAACATAAACTGTGATTCATTTGCCATTGAGCCATTCAAAACAGAACTACCATAGCTCCACCTGATATATCTAAATATTCGGGTTGCTGACCAACAACTTTCAATCACATAAAATCTGACTAGCCGATTGTTTTCACATATCACGAAATCACAAATGTATAAAAATGTACCAAAATATATAAATCAATGCGGACCAAAATTTATACATGTATAAATCAACAAATTATCAATTTATACATGTATAAATCACATCATTTTCAATTTATACATGTATAAATTGATAACGGAATCGATTTATACATGTATAAACATGTTTTTAGAATGTATAAAAATGTATAAATTCAATTTCTGAATTTTAAGCATTTTGCTTGTCATGCGATAAGATTTTATCAAATAGGATTCATTTCTCAGAGTTGCCAACCCCACCACCTCATGAGTTTAGACATTTCCTGACTCCCTGCTTTTTTAAAAATCCAGGAGTCAGGATTTAAGTTTTGCAACAATGTTTTTTGTTTGCTGGCGTTTGCTGGCTCCAAGTGTGTGCTGCTCACGCGTCCTCAGCTGCCGGTACTGCTGAACATGGAGCCTCTGCAAAAAAATAAGTATAAATATTCTTGGCTTAGTGTGTGAGACCCGACCTGCTGCTCAATGAGCAGCAGGTCTATTTTTGAAACAAGAGCGACACCCATCATTAGCCATGAACAAGATGGCGCGCGGTATATATATATATATACATATTTTTGCATGAGACACAACCTGCGGCTCAATGAGCCGCATGTTTTTATTTATACAGGAGCAACATCCATCATGAATCAGCCATGACCATGACAAGACGGCATGCGGCTCAGTGAGCTGCGTGATGAACATGCGATCGGAGCATGAACTCGATTTCAAGTTTAAGAAACAAAGTGCAAAAAGATAAGACACGATTTAATCAGGTTTTGTAAAAATGAAAAACTTGAACTTTGATATCTCAAAAAGGTTAAGTTCCCTAAGTTAGTTATAACTTATTTTTGAATAATTTTTGATAATCTAGATATAGAACTTAGAAATTTCTATCTTTTGCTAACTAACTTGCAAGTGCCACATCTTAACATAAAAACTTGTGCTAGTTACAGAACTTGTAACCCCTTCGTAACTAAGTTACCAACCACTTACAAGATACTTACAAGTTCCCTAGCCAAAACGGAACCAAGTAGTGGCCTGCTGAAACCACTCAGGGCTCGGGCGTTGGGTTTCGGTCGTGGGTTGCGATGCGAGCAGGATCTCAAAATGCATTCGCGATGTCGACAAGTAGTCGACAAAGAGAATGCCAACACTGTGATTCTTCTCGATATGCATCGAATGATAGAGCTAGCGTTAGGCAATGCGAGGCTTGCGTGATAGAATGGTGCGTAACACCTCCAATCTGTAGTTGCAGCCGCTGCCGCTCAAAAATGGGGCCGAGCTTTTGCCTGCAGTAATTTGTGCATAGAGTTGGGTCGCCCCTTCTTGTGCGCTGGCGTCAGACGTCCGCCCTTGTGGATCAAGGCCTCTCTGCCATACAGCATCTCCTTCAAGAAAAGGATACAAAAGGCGAGACATGAGTCCTGGCAGGTTTTTGCCTGGGACCCCATGCATCTTGAAAGAAGGCCTTGTTTCGCTTGCATCGGCGCAGTTGGAGTTCGATCTCTAGTCGGGATGGCAAGTGGCTCCAGTCAATATCTGGCTCTATAGGACCCTATCTTGATTATCGCATTGCTCCATGAGCCTATGAAGGGATGTTGGCAGCTATTCTTCCTTTTGCCTTTTTGATCTTCTGCATCAACTTCTTCTGAGCATTCTGCAGTTGCTTCTGCTCGGACTGTAGTCCACTCATCGGTCCAATCTCGAGGACCTGACCAATTTCCGGTGTAAACTTGATGGTATTTGGCAACCTGCTCTTGGACTTCCTTCACATCTGGCCGTGAGGCTGCTGGCAATGGCGCCAAGGACGAGTAGGACGGGAACTCGACACCTTTGTCTCCTTCTTTGGGATTGGGATTGGTCTTTTTGACATTCTCCTTCTGCTTGTCCTTCTCCCATTGGCCATTGCCCTTGCCTTTCGGCCCCCATGCACCACTCCAGTAGCCTTGGCCTTTGTGGCCCTTCCCTGGTCCCCATCCCCCCATAGGAGTGTAGGTGTGGTGCTGTTCCAAGATCGTCTTGGCCGCCTGCAAGCGGCGTGCTCTTCCCCAAGGCTCCGCTTAGTCTATCAATGGACTAAAATAGACTTGTTGGTTATAATAGTATATATATAAGTTTTTAAGGCTATCATCAAAAAGATGATAAGGTATAGATATCTGATTTTTTTGAGCGCGCATGTTTCTCCAACTTTTCTATCGTTTCTGACGGTCTGACAGCGCAGTTTCCTGTACTCGAGAACTTTGCTGAATCATTCGTTCGTTCAAGTTGTCAAACCACTTTTTGATAGTTTTCCTCCGCAGTTTCAGATTTTGGGTGCAATTTCCTCCGCTTTCGGTGTGCGATGGCTACCGTGTTGGTGCACGCTCGGGAAATCAAGCAGCTCTCCAATGACAGTTTCCCAGATAGCGAGGAGCTGGCGGAGCAGGTTGAGAACTGGAGGAACATCATTTTGTACTACTTGGAGGCAGAGCAGCAGCATGCTGCAAAGATCTATTTGGAGGATATGGCCAAGACGTTGGTGTATGTGCGGATGATGGTCCGAGGCGATGATGTCTCTCAGAAGCTCCACGGAGTGCAATTTTACCGAGCTCCACTGCCAGCAGGCTTCACGTTCATGAATCTTGCCCCTCCAGTGCACCCGGATGAGGTGCTGATGAAGGCGGAAATTAAACAGTGTGTGAATTTCATGCTGCGCTTCAAGCGGCTTCGCGCACATTGGTCTGCTTTCTTTTCATCGATGTGCCACGTCCTGCGCTAATCCATGGACGCGTGGAATGGGACCCATGGACATATAGCGTATAAGTGGTGAAACAATACGACCTTGCTGCTTTAATGTTGCCATTTCTCAGTGTTTCCATTTCCTTTCTGAGAGTGAGGGTTTCCATTTCCTCTCTGAGAGTTTTCACGTTTTTTTCGATGTCCTTTCCGAGAGTTTGTGAGGGTTTCCATCAGTTTCCTTTCTGAGAGTTTGCATTTCCTTTTTCGATTCCCTTTCCGATCTTTTGTGAGGGTTTCCATTTCCTTTCTGATAGTTTTCGATATCGATTTCCTTTCTGAGAGTTTGTGAGGGTTTCCATTTCCTTTCTGAGAGTTTTCACTGTGTTTTTCGATGTCCTTCCTGAAAGTTTGTGAGGGTTTCCATTTCCTTTCTGAGAGTTTTCCTTTTTTGTTTTCGATTTCCTGTGTCGGTTTTCGTCTTTCTGTCTCAGAGTTGAAGGTTTTCTTTTCTTTTCTAATTGTTTATGAAGGTGTCCATTTCGATTCTGAGTTCATGAAGGTGCCATTTCCTTGATGTTGTTTTCGAGTTTTTTTCATTCATAGAGGTGAGTTTCCACGTCCATTTCTTGTTCTTGGAAGAGTCCGTTCATATTTTTTCACGCTATAGCCATTTTGGCTATAGCAATTTTCCAAGCTTAGACTCTTTCGCGGCATGGCGGACGCGCGCGAGACCGAAGCTGCAGCTTTGCAAGCTGCTGCGGAAGCGCATGACCAAGCCTTCGGACATGGGGGACCAGGGCCGGGAGACACCCAGCAGTCGGAGAACGAGGAACAGAAGGAAGACTTGCCTGTGCTGAAGAAACCCGCAAGCAAGAATGCTCCCAAAGGGAAGTGAAGCCAAAGGGCAAAGCCAAGAGTAAGGGCAAGCCTAAGACTTCGCCTAAGCCGAAAAGCAAGCAAAAGGATGCAAGCAAGCCCACGAAGGAACAGGACAAGGATGCAGGCGAAGACTCGACCAAGCCCAAGAAAGGTGAGAACAAGCGCAAGCACGAGGATGCAGGCGAAGACCCCAAGGGCAAGAAAGCCAAGGGTGCGAATGGTGAAGTGCCGGAAAAAGAAATGGTGAAGTGTGCGAATGGCGAATGGTGAAGGCGAGGGTGCCAAGGCCAAG